TCATATGATCCAAAGCACGCTGGTGACAGCCACTAAACCACTGCGCCACTACCACCTTTGGTCGAGGAAATAACGCGTTGACATTGCAGAAGCGCAGATACACTGATCTTTTTATGGAATAACAATACAAAAATAACAGAAATTATGACCTAAATGGCGCATATCGTGCAAAACAACACAAAAGGAATATTGATAGCTGAACAAAATTTTGCGCCTGACATCTGGCGTCTATAGGAACAACAGTTACACAGAGACCGTGGCGTCCGAATTCCCATTTACTGTTTCAGAAACCAGTAGAGTTCGTAATAGACTCATCCGTTCAATAGCTTCACTTTAATTACTGCACAAATTCTATCATAATGCCATTTGCATTTGCAATAAATCGGTTTGGATGAAATTTGGGTATTGTTTGAACATGAAATCAACCAAACTCAGATGACGAGTCTACACCAGATATGAATCGACACAGCTTCCGGAGACGTTTTGAAATCGATCTCTTCTCTCCGTTGAGCCAGCGAAATGCACTTTATCACGTACATACTCACTTTCAAATGCCTAGACAAAAAGTAGTCGGTCTACATATAGAGCATTTTGTTTTCAATAAGGAATCTTACCCTGCTGTAAGTGTTTTTATTATACTCTAGTGTATTCGCCGGGTTACGGATATTGTTCGGATATAAAACTGATGTGCCATTTAGGTCACAACATGATCGGGCCAAGTGACAACGAGGTGCAAAAGGGCTCAAACCCAAGACTTCTGCAGCCATTGAATGTCAGTAACAGCTACCAGTACCGCTGAATTACCGAGACTGGGAGAAATCTACAGTACACATTCTTATAGAACACTGGTCCGTCAAAATGTTTTTGAAAGAAACTGACGGCCACCATTGGTAATTTGAGCCTAGTCGTATAAAACCATTTGAAATATCGTCATCACGGCTTGTAACTGACTCATTCAAGTGCGCACCAAGCGTTTGTGTGATCTTTCTGGTCAGTGCTGAGAACATCAACGCTCCTGTGTTTACACTACCCAAACAGGATCAATTATCCGAAACCCGAATCGCTTATTTTATCACACTCTGTCGGGATTTGTGTTTTCCTTGCGTATTGAGTTTTCATCACACCAGAACAAATCGCCTGATTTCCACTTGATTTCTGCAACCCCGGAATTTTTCGGTAGAGAGTTCACTATTCGTGATAGAGTTGGTGCGTAACTTATTTACTCGACGTGTAAGCGTTGGGTGTCTTGAAACGAGAACCGGAGACGATCAATAGTCGTTTAACCAATCAACCGAAAGGCAAAGCGAGATGGTTCGTCAGAATATAGATGTCGTTGTATTGGTCTAGTTGAGAGAGAATGTTCCGCCTATTAAAGTCCTCCCGGAATGGCTACAAACGGGTACCGTTTTTCTTCCAACTGAGGTTTACGATTGCAGCTATTTTTGATTTAAACATGAACCTCGTAAATGATATTTGCTGTTTCACTGACGAGATGCCGGTTTCTCATATTGTATTCTCCGAGTTTGTTTGGTCCAGCCAAACTGTCTGCTTTTGTAATCTTGAAATTAAAAAAAGTATCTCACTATCGCACTTGTCTATAACTGCATTTTAGCGCGATTACGTGATCTTGGTCGATATGAAGAAGCTATGGAGATATGCCTTGATTTTCTCCAGGTATGTTGTGCTTCTATCGAGGTCTTCTCTTTTGGCCCTTGGTTCCCGTTCCTCTCCACCTCACCAGTTTTTTGAGGATGTATTTTTACGGCGATTGGTCGTTTGATCATTTACTTAATCCGTTCTGATTTGGTGTGATCTCTGTGATGCTGAATCATGTTCACCTGCGATACTGTCGATCGATAACGGAATTGATTTGTACTCTGCACGGTTCACTTTATCCTGCCGTAGTTTTTACCCCGTGACCTTCACTTCAAAGTAATCGAAAACTGTCTGTGTTCCAAGTGTTCTTGTTCCCATTAAAATGCGGTCATTTCGTAACCATGTTTTACCGAATACCAATGTAGAATTTTCAATATTTTTTAAAACACTATTTAGGTGTTTGATGCATGTCAAATTCAAATTGACAAAGTGAAGCATCAAATTTTAAACTGATTGACTCTCAAAATATTGACCGTCAACCCGGGGGACTTCGACTTCTTTGTCGAAGGTTCGCGATTCAAGCCTTGCTTGAAACACAAAAGTGCTACACACGAAACGTCTACCTGATTCTCGTTGTCAAAAAAGCGTTTATTTACTTCTTGTTTTATGTATTGAGTTTACGTATGGACAGTCAGCTTTCCGGAAAGTTTTAGCCGCCATACAAAGGCTATCTGGGGAATGCACACCTTACGATAATCGCCATCAAAAGTGAATCCAATTCCCTATGTCAGGATTGAACAAAATCCAAAGGAATGATACCCATAATCCAGATCGCATAAGAATTATGCATAGTGCCAGGTCTCCTTGACGTATCTTTCAGGTCGGTTTGTGCTAGCGACCTTGCTTGAATCTCTTTGATCCCCCCCCGCCGATGTAATTNGAGTCCAGATATGGCCATCGAGATTGGATTAGAAGGAGGTCTATGGGTTCAGTCCCGTCGCTTGGTGAGTTTTCCAGCATATGGTAATTTCTTCGAATACTTTAAACACATTTTTAATGTTCCCTTACATTGGACTATTTTTTGCCGTTAAGCTTGGGTGTAATGAACAGTAGATTTCTATAACCACGAGAACCAGTTATATCCACATCTTGGTCGAGCATCAGCACCAGTCAGGTATATCAAGAGATCACGTGATACTCGTGCATCTAAATTTTCCTGTACTTTACTGTCTGTTTTGGAGCCTGTCAAACCATTATTCATCTGCATACACACCTGTACATTGATCAATCAACTCTGTGCTAATGTGCGCAGCATTCATAATCACGCACACGATCGTGTGCTAATCGTATCGTCCAACTGTGAATGCGCTTCCAATCAGTGTTGAAACTAACGAATTAGTTGTAACTCTTCTCTATCTCTCTTTGTTCCTCTTTTTAATTTATCCTTTGGAGTCCGATGGATAGTTCTGAGCATACAACTGCTCTCTGAGGTCACTACTTCGCTGACTTCAAACTTCTTCCTGGGGACAGAGTCGTAGATGACTAAAGAGTAGTGAATCGTTTGACAATTGAGGTTACTCGGTATGGTATTTCTTTTGCACCTTCAAAGTGCCAGATTGTCAGAAACCCACTCCTGCGCTTTCATTGGGTAACCACGTTCTGGAAGTAGTTTAAAGCACAACGGGTGTGTGTATGTGGGTGTAGGTGAGGAAATCTAACAACGTCTAATCAAAGCTAGGTTAGCGTTTGCTAATTTGCGGCCTTTTCGCGCCGGCTCGACATATCCCATTCGCTGAAAGGGCGTATGTATTGCGCAACGGTACGCACCGTGTTACCCTATGGCTGCGAGACCTGGCCTCTCCGAGCAGATCATGTCCAACGACTATCCGTCTTTTAAAACTCTTGTCTGCGCAACATCCTCCGTGTTGAGTGGTATCATCGTAGGAATAACGATGAGGTCAGAAGACCTCTGTCAGAGCCAGATAGCCTTCCGTTGAGCAAAACAATTCCAATGCCTTGTCTTAGGTGGCTGGAGCGCGTGCTGTGAATGCCTGAACAACGTCTTGCATACTGCGCGCTAACTGCAGAAATTGGTCCGGGCTGGAAGAAACAACGAAGTGGACAGGCCATGACTTAGCGTAGAGAGTTGAAGAGATTGTGCTCAAATTTGGATTCTTTGGGGGCTCCCCGGCTGAGGCCCCAAGGATTCAAATTGTCCATGGCTAGATACACTGAGGGACATAGCATCAAACCGAAGTCAGTGGCGTGAATGCACCCGCATTCCTGTGCACGATCCCCAAAGTAAAACTGACAAAAAATTCAAAATGGCGTGCAGTAAACAAGTGAAAAATAGTTATCACCAAAGTTGACTGTTTTTTGTTTTCTCCGTTTGGTGTTTCTATGTTTCGTTTCCAAACCAACGTTATTTTTGCGCCGTATCTGTAAAGATATATACATATATACTTTACTACAATCCGTGTTGTTGTTATTCTCATTCCAAATTGCACAGGCTGTCTTGCATGATAAGCTCACCGTTTTTCACCGGTCCCTGTTGCCCAAACTAACCGAGGCTTCTGCTGCCCTACTGGAACGTGTATCAACCACCAATGGCCAGTTCACAAAACTAGTCCAGCGATTGATCGCACTTCGTCAAGAACATCGGGATGAAGCAGAATCAAGACGTTTAGCTCAGTTACACGGCACTTCGGATCCAATGGGTATCTTATGCAAACTTTTAATGAAAATATGTTTCATATCTTGTTAGTCGTTGTATGTTCATTCTCCAGTGTATATCGACCTGACTTGTATGAACGACTAATACTCAGTCCTCAACACGTTTTTTGACCAGTTAACTGAACAAAAGAAAACTAGCTCTGAATAGATGTGGTACTGGAGTTCATTTTATTACACACATTTTTTGTGTGATGAATAGCACGCGGAGTGGAACCCAATAGTCACGAGAACCTGATGTTCAATAATTGAAACCGGTAACCTAAGCCCCGGGACTTGGAGTGGAGGACCACATAAGGTCTCTCTAGGTTGGGTGTGATATTGAACTGGACGGCAACAAAGTTGCCTATCATCGAAGTTGGGTGGCGGTGCCGGAGCTCGAAGCTCTGCCAATAGGGGTACTTGTTGTCTTTTAACCGGAAAACTGCATTTTGCTATCTTCAACGTGTAACCTAGAGAACTGTCAAGTGTGCCACAACAAAAAGGAATCTGCAGAATGTGTTCATAGGCTGTGTGGGCATGTTATTTCGCGGTTGCTCTGACTGAGCGAGGGGTATAACCTCGGGGTCCCTACCATGAGCCCTTGGCTAGAAAGCCAGACCTACAAGACAGAAAGACAAAGTTTAGAGTCCACAGTCCATTGGGGGCTGGTGTCCAATTCGTCGCGTTATACCCGCTGGATGGGGTGAAACGTCCAAGGTGCCCATACACCTCGAAGCCTAATCGAGCCAGTGACCACCGCCAAAACCACGAAGGTGTGGATTTGTGTTGTTCGAACGCCTCTTCGTTTATTTGAAATCCGGATCTTTAGCCAACCTGAGACGAACTGCCGGTGGTTCACCGACTCGGATTTTGGCTTTTCGTCCGCGCACTTCAGTGGGGAAACACTTGCATCGTATGAATGCATGAATTAAGGCTTCCTGTGGAATCTACTTGAGACGATTTGGCGAGGTGTAAGCAAAGAGTGGCCACTTTCGAAAACTGATGATGATGTTACAATGACTGTTGTGAATCAGTTATCTTCTTAACTCGATTTTGTGTAATCCTTTTCATGTAGATTTTCAATACTTATGGTTTCACTCTACGGATAGCTACGGTTTCACTTATGAGATGTTGTAATACGATGGTTCTATACGGTCACGATCCTTTGTTTTCGTTTTCAATTTATACATCCCCATATTTTGTTTTCTTGTTCTAGATGAAACTGCCACAGAAACTGATCTGTTTTCAGACACCAGTAGCATCTCTGATTCCAGTCTATCCGGTTCCGTAAGCGCCGTGAGTTTACGTTCTGGCAGCTCCCGAAAATCTGGGTGAGTTTTTGTCTCCACGAGTAGCTGAACTGATGTTTTTTTTTCGGGATAGGGCGATCATACAATGTGGGTTTCTAGGTTTGAATATTGCTTACAAAGTTAAGTGGGGCTTCCTTATTTCACCTGCTCTTTTACACACCGTTCACCCGCATCCATGAAATTGCAGCATATAGATGGCATCAGTCGATAATCTATCCAATCAGGGGTCTAGTAGCTCGGTGGTAATCGTGAGAATACAAGGAATGTCAAATTCGTGGCAGTTGAAAATTATGTCTTATTGGCAAACACATACTGTTAGTTATTCTTCTATCGATTATGCAATTGATGTGTAGGATGAATATCGGTTAAATGATGATTTCAGTGATATATGTTGGATTTGTGACTTCGTGGTCATCAGAATAAAGTTATTTGCTCTCTGAATGTCGACGAATGGTCTGGTGCTGCGGAGACGTTTTCAGCGATCTTTTTGTCATATTTCTACCGGCTAACAATCTATTTGGAAACCTTTTTGTAGACTTCCTACAATCTAGGTGCAACCGATCGAGCGATTTTGGTTGCAACCGCCAGCGCCCACCGGTCGTGATGATTACAATTCGGATACCCTTCATCACTTTGGTGGTGTATAGCTTCGCCGTCACTTGGCTTCGTTTCGTTTGCCAGGTTTGGGTTGTCAGATCTCATCATTGAGTAGTAGATCTCCGTGGTTACGTGATTCGCTCTGTCTATTGAGATAATCCAGTTGATAGAACGTCGATGAGGGTGTGCGTGATCACAATGTGATTTATTTCTTCCTGACGGAAAGATTTTGAAACGTGCGGTCTTACGTCAGCTGGGTTATAGAACGACATTTTGAAACGTTGTTCCGTGTGAATATCACCTCTAATCATGCATGAGACAGTCATATCCTCGTGCGGGGATAGTAGCGTCGATTTACTCCCAGGTGTCAAACTGTTTCATCTGGAGTACGCCAATGACATTGTGCTACTAATTGAAGACCCAGGTAAGTTGCAAGCTTTTCTGGATCGCTTGAGAGCGTTTTGCATTTTCACAGTGTAAAATGTTATTACAAAACTGGGTTGATCCAACACCCAACCTCACCGTAACTGGGGAAGTAATAGAGCAAGTGGATAAATTTAGTTATTTGGGCAGCTACATCTCACCCGGTGGTCGCATCACCAGCTCGCATACAGAAAGTTCGGTTGGCATTTGCCAACTTGAGCCATCTGTGGCGCCGTCGCGAAATCCGGCTATCTTTGAAGGGTCGAGTGTATCCCCCTGCAATTCGGCCAGTTCTCCTATACGGTGCAGAAACTTGGTCATTAAGAAAACAGGATAATGATAGACTGTCGGTGTTTGAACACCGCTCTTCTACGAAGCATTGAACGAGTTTGGTGGAGAAACCGGACTAGTAATGCTAAGGTTAGATGCAGGGTTTTAGGTAATTGCAGTCATTCACTGGAGCAAGTGCTCTACCTCCATAAACTGCGTTGGTTGTGACATGTGTTACTCATGTCACCAGATAGGTTTCCACGGCGAGCGATGTTCACCGAGGCAGGGAGTGGTTGGGAAAAGGTCAAGGGTGGTCAAGTTAAAACTTGACACGGGGGTATGAAAACCCTAGCCAGTAGACTAGGTCACATAGGTCCTAATAAATTCCTAGGATCGGGACCTCGGTCTGATCTTAACCGATGGTTAGAGACACTCAGTGATGCGATTGAGTGTCTTAAACAGTGGCTTTCGTGCATCTACTCAATTTCTTGCAACATTATACTACTGAAATTCTCCATTTTCTCTTCGACTCTAGTTTCAAGCTTTCCTGTTTTTCTCCCACTGTTCGTCCAAATGGGCAGCCAAAAGACAGCAACCCAAACCGGCGCACGAAAGTGCATGATTAACGGTTTCACAATCTGATCTGAATCGGTTTATGCATTTTCTCATCCCCAACATGATCACTTCACACGAATACTATATGTGCACAGCTTTGATATAATATCTTGCATGACCCCCCCCCCCATGCCGATATATCTAAACAGTCTATATTTAATAGCAAATGCTCACTCAGTTCTTTTTCTTTTACCACCCCTTGTCTTCCCCCTTCCCCTCTTATCTAGACGTTCGGCAAAGAACAAACGGAAACAAGAGGCTCGCAAGTGGTCATCTAAAGTGGGAAGCAAATACGAAGAAGTGGGCCTAGTGAAAGAAATCAGCCAGTCAATTGAATTGAGTCAACGATTAGCCGGTACGTATCATTATCATCATTAGGTGTATGCGAAAGTTTGACGTTCACTGTTTGTGATCTAGCCAACATTCGAACCGATTATCTGAGTTAGATTGCAGGCACTTTATGGGGCACAGCAGGGAAGCGCGAACGGAGTGTTCACTTTGAACAGTCATTATTGATGGCAGCGTCCGATCACGAGCTATTCGGCCGACGGCATGACTAGGTGAACAACTATCGATCGCGAACCGTTGTGGTTCTCTCACGGATTCACTTGTGACAGAATTCTACTATACATATCCAGTCAAGCCAATTATGTCCGCGTTCGGATAGATAGTATAGATCAAAGTGATTCACGACAGGAGCCACAGTCGAATGCATTCAAGGGTCGCAAGCACCCAGTTGAGTCGTTTATCTGTTACACAACTTTTGTCGGAATCAACTATACATGGAAAGTCTTTCCCTTAACTCGTTTCTATAAAACCATCTTTTGATCGCTTTCTGTTTGGTGATGGGATCAGCCAAAATCCGTCCCCTTGCGCAGTGGAGGCTGATTCCCGCTTGCCGCTATTTTCAATTGACATGAATTTGCTCTGTCCGCCATTCACAGGGATATTGGGTATGAGTACACGGAACGCTTTTGTGATCTGCCTTTCTGACCACAAATTGTATTGCCTATTGTTATTCTGTTCTAATGATTGTTTGGCAGATTGAAGTCTTATGTTGGAATTGTGAAAAGTTCAGCGTAGCCTCGGTGGGATTCGAACCCACGCATAGATACTGCGTACGCTTTTCGTACGGCACACGCTCTACCAGCTGAGCTACGAGGTCACACCGATAGCACTGATCTTCTCACATTCGAATTTACCCGTCCAACTTACAGAGGCATATGGCGTCCACCAAGTAGTATGTAAGTTGTCTGCCACAACAGGTTCTCCTCAGAATTCACCGGGGTCCACCGAACGAACATCTTAGCCAAGGTTAATTGTTCAAATGGTTATTTGGCAGATTGAAGTCTTTCTGTCATTATCGCCGCCTTCCAATCTAGGGCGATGAATACACTTGTCATGCTGCTGCATACTTACTAAATTCGCACAATAAAATTGATCTAACATAAATAAACCTCTGAGTACGGCGGCATGTAGCACTCTGATTGAATGTGAAATGCTTTCTAGGCCGCTTCATTGCTTTTATGTGACCCAACATCAAATTGAATAGAGTACAGCGTAAATCAGAACGGGGGACATGACCGAACATAGATCAAGGTCAAAACCGGATGGCTGGCTGGGTTTAGCTTCTAATCGCAATTCAAGTATCTTCTCAATCTTCATTTGGGGTGTCGGGCGATTGCAGTTAGTGTTCGTCATTGGAAATACGCTAAGGTGAGAAAGAGACCCTGGCTGATGTCCACTCAGGTGAAACACAGAGTTTTTGAGACACCTTAGTGTGATGAACAACAGATGAAGTAAACCCCATAGTTAGACATCCTCGCCTTCACGTAACCGTTGAGTGTTCACTGTCTCATTGCTTCGTTCCCGTTGCCGGATTTCACTGATCGTTTGCATTCTCACACAGATCATTGTTGTATTCTTTGAATCTCATTGTTCCTTATCCTTGGGTTTCTCTATGGTCTCTGATTGACGATCATCTAAATATTTGACCTCGCGCTCGTTGAAAATCATAAGCCCAAAGTAAAACAACCGGGGTGACTTTATAATTTCATACAGTATGCAATTCAAGCGTGGCTGCAGCGCAATGGTAAGATTCTGGAACGTCCACCAAAATGGTCAAGGGACTGCATTCCAAGACTTATATGGAAAGACTGCAATCATTGGGGCTGTATTCCACACAGTCTCACCGAATTCGGCGGGACTTGATCATCGTGCATCAAATGATGCAGAATCCTGATCACCCATGTCGTTCACTGGTCACCTTCTCGCCCACCCCTCATTCAAATTAGTGCTCCAAAACTGTGGAATTGAATATCGGCATTATTCATTTGCCTTCAGAGTATGCAGTATTTGGCATTCTTCACTGGGATTGATTCTTTTAAGTACAAACTGGATGTAACTTCGACATCCGTAGTAGTGCACAAAACAACGATAATTTGTGACATTACCCAACTTTCTATGGACCGTAAATCGATCTATTTATTCTAAACCCTATGGAACAGCGGTCATCGGCTCGATTNTTGGCTCCGTCCGAAAGGCGCATAATTCGATAAACTGGACACCGGCCCCTAGCGGGTTGCGGTTTTCGCACACCGTCCCGCTGCCCGGCGGGTCAGATTTTGGCTAGCCAAAGGCTCCGGTTGTGAAATCATCAAGAAAATTCACCTGCCTTGGCCTGGGCAACCTGTCACTATTCAGCCCGCATGCAGATCATAGAACGTTTTTCTTTTTCATTAAGATTATTGTATCATGATTTATTTGGCACAGTCTGGATTCAGACGTGTGCGAAAATATATGTGTAAATATTTCCCACACGAAAACTTTAGCTTTGTCGATGTTATCAATCTGTTTTCCCTAGGCAAGTGCCGTTTTCATTTGTATTTTGATCTACTGCAGGTGAGGTTTCTGCCCTGGTGTTGGAACTTTGGCGCGTCGGTTTGGCCGAAGATGGACGTCGTCTATTGTCACATATCAATCAACTTCTATCTGACCAGAAAAACATCATCCCCTCTGTCTGGGATGACTGGATGACCGGAAAGGTTAGTACCGCTCTCCCCAAACATGTGAATAAGGTTACCTTGAAATACTGCAGCCACATTTTTCCACTGCTTTGTGGGATTGTTCCGATCGTGCGATTCTTAATTGCAATGGGAATCATCATTCAGACGATCAAAGTGCAACCGACCACTTATCACTATGCTCGTTATTGGTTCTGGTACGCAACTGCAACCGGAGTTGCGCCACGTGACCTTACTGCGGCTGATCTTTGAACAAATTTATCCCAACGTACATTTTGGCTCTAACTTTCTCCGCTTTGCAAGTGCATGCATACTATTAGGACTTTCGTCGTTTTTTGTTGTTGTTTGAACGGTACAAGTACCCCGCGACATTCGTATGCACTACCGTTACAATTTTGAGCACCTGAGCATGGTAGTCCGATTGGAAGTTTCGCGAAACCGTCTTTATTTTGACGAAAATGGGTAACAAAAATCAATTTTGCGCTGACAAAATTATTGAACCATTCTAGAGTCTGCTTATTTGAACCTGTGCATGTTCCATATAGGAGTTCGAACTATAGCTCTCCTTATTGCTTCACTCTTGCATC